TGTAGGACAGACAGGCAGAAGGCTGGCAGAGCGCATCCATGAGCACCAACTAGCAGTCAGAAGACACGATGAAAACTCCTTAATCCGACAACACATGGACAGACTGAACCATAGTTTTAACTGGGAAACTCTCAGCATTTTAGACCAAGAGAATTCTTGGAAGCTTGGTATTCAGACAAGGCAGCAATTAACAGACACACAGAGATAAACAGCATCTACATACTATTCAGAAGAGACAAAAGACCGGAAGATCGCCTCACCAGCAATCATAAGCAGAGATTACCACCAGGTACACAAGCAAGCAGTAAACAATACCCTACTACCAAAGGGAAAAAATAAAATAAAACAAAACAAAGCCCCCGCCCCCACCAGCACTGGCAAGGCAAGCCACTGTATATAAACAGAGAGCAAACCCCATCCCATTCTAGCACTGAAGATGTTACCTAGCCAGGTAATGAAACGTTTGCAAAGCTCAGAGAACCCCAAGGACTCCACAGTTGATGTTAGTTTGTTTCCCTACATTTAATCATTGGATGTTTTCAGTAAAAAAAAAAAGGGGGGGGCAACTTGAAATGGATCCTTTCTTGTCATGGGTTTGCAACAACTGCTCATCTAAATTTATCCTGTAACTTTTTCTTGCAGAGGACTCCCCCACCCCACCCCGATTTGCTGGATCCTTCTGAGAACATGGCAGAGCGGTGGTGGGGAGCACGACATTGTTGGCGGTGGCTGAAATCTGCCATGTGCAGGCAGAACAGCATCAGGCCTGGAGCTCCAAGTTGTGACACACTGCTGCCCCCTGAAAAGCCTAAGAAACACAGGGTAGTAATACCTTGGCCAACGCATTTTAAAGAAGAATATAAAAAAGTATCCAACCTTTATAGGAACAACAATATACGGACTACAAAATACCGTTTTTGGTCCTTCATACCTAGGAATCTCTTTGAACAGTTTCACAGGTTATTCATTTATTTACTTATTTATTAGAGTTATATACTGTTAGTGTATCAAGGACCAACTTCACCATAATACTGTAATTGTACAGTTGTATGAAATTGTATAGTATTAAGGTTGTGTAACACTTTGTATTCAAAGGGAAGCACATGATTTGGAGCCCACATCAGTGTGCACTCAGCACCTGTGAGCAATATCTTAAACGTGAGCAATATCTTAAATGTGTTTTTTCCCAGGATTGTATGGTAGCTACATAGAGCAGCTACTGAGTTCAGGAAAAGATGCAGCTGCTTTAAAGAGTCGCTGACAGGTACTTCACAGTTTCCCTTTCAAAACTAAAGTACTGCATAGTTCAATTGATTATATAACCATCTTCTGGTTATATTCCAGAAGAAAACATGTTAATCCCAGTCAGGGGTCACCAATCTCCAGGAAGAGTCTGCAGATTCCATCAGATTTTAAAAATTGCTGAAGTCTCATGAACAAGAAATCTCAAGAGATTTGGAGCAAGACAGTGCAATCTTGCATAATTTGGGAAATGGGATTGCTAAAGGTTTGTGAGCTTTGGTGTCTCACAAGATTTCTGATATTTGAAATATTTGTGCTATCCCAGAAATTCACTCGAAAGCGCCCACAAATGTTGTTGACCTGTGACTTAGGCGCTTATGTACAAAACTGTATATTTGAACTATAGTTTTAAACAGAATAAAGTCAAAAAGAGAAAACAATCTGGATACTTGAGAATACCCAGATTGTCTAGACAGACTGTAGTTTGTGAAATATATAATGTTTTGATTCGTCTGGATAGATTTTCTGATCATGGTAATGTCACAAAATATTTTCAATGTTTAGCTCTGTAGGTTATGTGCAATGCTCTAATATATACACACATTGTTTGTTAAATTAACCTTTTTATATAAACACAGTCTTATGTGACTTCCATGGATCTTACTGTTAATTGAGTGTAGAAATGTAATCCTACCGTTTAGCCCACTCTTTTAAACAAAAATGTAAAATTAGTTGCCATTTGCCTAAGTGAGAAATATGTAGCTTTAAAGGTTGTTTACATACTAATACCCATGTTTTGTGTGTGTGTGTGTGTGTGTGTGTGTGTTTTGTTTTATTTCAGAGCTGCCAATTTGTATTTCTTATTTATAGTTCTGCTTAACTGGGTTCCAGTGGTGGAAGCCTTTAGAAAAGAAATCACAATGATTCCACTCTGTGTGGTTCTCACCATTATTGCAGTGAAAGATGGCTTGGAGGATTACACAAAGTACAAATTAGATAAAAAGATAAACAACTTAGTCACCAGTGCATATTCCAGGTAAGGAACAGCCTTTCCAGGGTGTGTGCCAAATGCAACATAGTAACATTTCCATTTAACAGATCCCCATTTAACAGACTTTGGATACAATGCAGAACTCCCTTTCAAATAAGGGACAAATCTAAAATAATCCAGATGAGACAGTTAAATATATATTATTTTTACCTTAACTTTACAACATGTGCAGCGATTTATGCCATTTGTTTAATGACACCCTTATGCAAATAACAACATTCTTATGCAGTTGACATACATTGATGCAAATGATGTCCTCTGGGATTTAATGGACATCCAGGAATAACATATAGCCTCCCCCACTTTAGTCCGCTAAATTGAGGTTTTATTGTAGTTAAGTTTGCTTCTCTGTTGGATAACCAGATAATTCCTGGAACCAACCAACATGTCTCTACCCAAATGTCTGACAGTTTTTTGTCCCTTCAATTTGTGTTTTTGTGGGAAAATGTCAGCTTCAGGGTTTCCTGGAAATTAAAATTTAGATTTCCCTTCCCCTGCTACCCTCTTAAGTCTCCCCCAATCAGTGTTAGGTTGGTTTAGGAGCATTCTCCAAATGCCCTACCAAATTATTATGCATCCTCCAAGTGCCCTGCCGAATGAAATTAGATGGGTGTTTGCTGGATTTCCAGTTACAAGCATGTTATAACTTATTTCTTTTTAAGAACTGGGCAAAATAATGATTTCTCCTCCCAAGAAATGTTATACTATGTTGAAAGAGTGGTTTCACACCCACAGCTTGCCATCATGTTAGATCAGTAGTTGCTCCCTTAATAAAACCTTAAGGCATTTGTTGGGTTATTTTTCACAACAGTGTTTTATTCTTTTTGGTGTTTTCTGATTTTGGCTCCTACCTTATTCACAGCTATGTTAACCTTTTCTTCAGGTACGCTGTCCTCACACAGGATTTTTGCTCATTTTGAGGTCCCACACAGCCATATAGTTTCTTGTGGCTGCCCTTGATCTGTCCTTAACATAAGAAACAAAACTGCTTTTTAGTGCCTTGTGAACCACAATCTGGATAAGGCCTCTATCTAGCACACAGGAATGGGCCATCGATTCAAAGCTAACCTTGGAAGAAAAATGGTCTTTATTGTGTATTTTCAATCTTGCTTAACATTCATAAGGTTCCTCAAACATGATTTGTTCAGGTTGTTCCCATGCTTGAATTTATCAATGCTAACTATTTCACGGCGGTTGTGAGAGTTTGTAGTTAGTCCTTGACCTTGATTGGAGATGACACACTGTGTGAGTTAGTAGACTCTGTTCTCTCATTCACCTTTTGATTTAGTACCAAGGTTCCACCTTAAACACAACCCTTTTTGATTCTACTCCATTTAGATCAGTGTTTCTCAACCTTGGCAATTTTATGATGGGTGGACTTCAACTCCCAGAATTCCCCAGCCAGCCA